TCCTAGATATCTTTATAAGTACATGTATTATTTCTTATACTTAATAGCAAGAACGATAAAGTTCAATCTTTTAGCACTGGCATCCCTAAACTATTGAAGCAAACAAATCATTTATATATTTAGCAAGATATAGCAGATTTTAGCATTTCTACATAGTGTTGATTAGTGCCTTTTACCATAGTTTATAAGGCCAATATAACATATATCAAACTTTTATAAACTAACTGCGAAGCTTATAAATGCTTCCAACAAGTAACAAACAAATAAGCATGTTACCATAAAAATAGAAACAAAGATTCATACTGGTATGTACCTTCAGCATACCACCAATCAGCCCCTTTTGTCTCAGAGTTGACAAGCCTCTCAGCAAAGGACAATCCATCCTTCCAGTTATTGTATCCCCCATGAACCCACAGTTCCTTAGCATTAGCAAGAGGACCTGAACTTTTTCTATAATATAACTTAACCCTGTCCTCACCCTTAAATTCACTAGGTTCTATATACCAAATGTTCTCAACTGACCTTGCAGCCTTTTTCATCACCTGTTGAAAAATTTCCCGCCTCCTTCCAGTCTCCGTCTTTGCTTGTGTTCTATCAGCTTCACTTGCAGCCTTCTCTGCTTCTCTCCTCCTCTGCTCTTCCTCTTGTCTTTCCTTTTCAGCTTGCTCCTCTGCAAGTTTCTCTAGCTCCCTACGTTTCTCCTCAAGCAAAAAATCTTCAAATGCAATGATATCCATTCCTCCTTCCACAGGTATGCAAAAGTCCTTCTCTTCATTATTATCAAAGATGCTTTGCCCATTAAAAAAGACAAAATCCATCTTATATGCTTCCATTGGAACATGAAGTAGGCAAGACCACCAATCCCCTGCCAGATGGGTTTTGTTCAATCTCCTGGTAAATTGTTTCCATCGCCAATCATTGAAAGCTCCCATAATCAACAAATCCGGCTCATTTTTCAGAGTGGAAAGACTTCTATTAAGGAACACTTCTACATCTTGATCAGGTTTCACAACTTGGGGATAAACAAACATTTTATTGCCCTTTGAGAAATTATCATAGGCAAGTGCTTCAATCTCCTGTTTACGTTTGGTCGCTTCCATCTTCAATTTTAATTTTTCAGAATCATCTTTAGTTCCTGTTTCATCCTTCTCAATGCTTTCATTTTTAAATATGTCATTCCTCTTTCCAATATCCGAATGCTTCTCCTCTAAAGCTACTTCATCAGCCACATCCTCAGCATCACTTTCAGAGCCTTCTGAACCTAATCCACCAGCCACTTCATCAGCATCCCTTTCAGCACCTTCTGAACATAATTCACCAACCGCATTTTCAATATCACTTCTAGAAATTATTACATTCTCCTCTAAGAGAGCCACATCATCATCTATCCTTCCTAAACTTCCATTTTCAGTTGATTGACCGCTCCCAAGCACATTTAACTGTTTATTCTTTGATGGTATTTCCTCTTCTTCTTTTTGGGCTTCCTCGACAATTTTGATATGAGAATGTTCAACTTCCAATTTTTGGTCTGTATCAATTCTCACTTCAGGTTGTTTCTTGCCAGGACCTCGTAATTCAGTTGATGTGGCAGTACCAGTGCCGTCTTTGCCAGCATTGTTTCTGGAATCTTTCTTCTGGGAGCTTGTTTCCATAGGTGTTTTCGGCACGAATCCCTTTGGACCAGGACCTCTAGACCTCGGGACAGACGTTCTTCTGGGTTTTCTCCTTGAAAAATCTACAGATACACAAAAAGAACAAGAAAAAAAAAATGATTGCATTAAAACAATCTATTAAAACTTCAATTTTATCTAATGGCAGATCAATTTACAACAAGCATTTAACCTGAGCTTGCAGTGATTCCATGAGAAATACCCCCTGCAGAGTAATTGATGCCTAATGGAGTAAACTGAAACCAAAATGCATCAAAATTAGGAAAAGAAAATCATGTAATCTCAATGCAAAACCAGTTAAAATTCAGTGCTTGAATAAAATCAAATGAAATTAAATTAAACAAAAAAAAAAAGATTAAAACAAATACAATAATTTTCACCTCTCAAGCAAATTTTGACAACACATGTAAGCTCCGTAAACCTTGCTAGAATTAGAGAAAATAGCTAAAAGCAAAATTAAACGGTTGGTACAACAATCGAATCATTTCCCATTAACATTCAACCTAAAAAGAAAGCAAACTTTTTCTCCAGAGGATCAAAAGCCAATTAAGATTTCAATCAAACCCACAAAAACTAGTTTCTCGACAAATAAAAATAAAGAAAATCCATCTGCAAGTACCACCCAAACACACAAAAACTCACGTAAGGAGCTGGCTCTGTAACACACATATACAATCAGACCAGAGAACTCACTTGACAGAATCGAGAAGTTCTTCGATGGTGCAAGAAAAATCCAGAAAATGGTTTGATCTTCAAGCTACCTCTCTCTTGAAACAGACCCCTGCAACTCACGGGGCTCTGCACATGCAAGCCAACTTCCATATCTAACCACCAACACCACCACTACCAGTATTAATAATTACTGAGATGAAGAAGAGAAGGGATGAGAATGAAGAAGAAGAAGAAGAATGTTGGGTCTTGAAGTTTGGTTTCTTTCTTCACTGAAATCCACTCCTCTGATTCATTTTCAATCAGATTAAACTGCTCACGTTTCTTCTTAAGAACTGTGCATGAATATAAAAAAAAAAAATTAAACAAATAAATCAATAAATAAACAAATTAATTAATTAAAAATAGCAAGATAACAAGCTTCAAACGAGCTGAGCCAGAAGTGTATATGGCATTAAACTCTGTGTTACATTCTCTGTCTTTTTAAATCTATACTCAAATATTCTCCGTTGATTTTTCGTCACTGACTGATCTAACGGTCCACAGAGTTCTTTTTCTGTAAAACTAGATTTGGTTGTAGGAGATTGAAATCGTCGTAAAAGGTTGGCCTTTTTGATATCTAGGTTTTTTAGAGGCTGTTATTTTCTGATAGGATTTGATTTTTTTTTTAAAAAAGGAAACGAATGAGAATATGACACGTCAAATGAGAAAGTGCCACGTGTACGGTATGGCAACATGGCAGGTGGTTTCTCTGATTATTTTTGGCTTTTTGGCATAATTCAGATTTCAATTATTTTTTCTTTTAATTTTAAAAATATTATTGAAAATGAAATCATAACACATGGGGCATGGGCGTAGTGTTTTGAAATTTTCGAAATATAAATATAAATATATAAATTTAAAAAATATAAATAAAATACTTTATTAAATAGTTTTAATATAAGAAATAAAGAAAATAAAGAATATAAATAAAATATTTTTTTAAAAAAAAATATAAATACAATAATTTAGTAGCATATTTGAATTGATGATTTTATAAATATGATTAGTTTTAAATTATTTCTTAAAATTTTTTTAAAAAAATAATTTTATTTATTAAATACGATGGTTTCATAAATTCGTATTACATGCAATATATTTATTACGGCCTAAGTTTAAATATTATTAATCAAACAAATTTTTGAATCTATGAAACTATAATATTACAGACTCTGATAATCAAATCTTTGATATTCGTTAAAATCAAACATCCCACAATTATAAATTACAATTTAAAATATTTACAAAATTCATGTATCGGTTGAAATTATTAAACTAATACGTGTTCTAATACTATTTTCAGTGTTCTCGGCTCAAACATTATAAGTTTTTAACTTTTTGTAACTAAATCATTACCATTTAAAAATTTAAATTCAAATTATAAACGAAACGTAATTTAAAGATTTACGTAGAATTCAAAAATTTTATATCTTTTTGATACGAGACGGGAATATCCGAAGCAATAATTTTTTATAATAAAAAATAAAGAACCGAAATTTCATTTATATGATATGATTTCTAACATCTCCGAGCTAAGAGATTATTAGCATAAAAGTTACTAGGGATAAAAGATGAGCATAAACAGTGAAGAAATCACTTGTGCATGCTACTATATATATATATATATATATATATATATGTATAGCTAACTCTGCTTCCAAACTACATTGCATATATCTCATTTGTTCACAAGATTATTCGCATTCGAGTATTACAATGCGAGAAGAAGATGTTTTTTTCATCTGCAGAACTCTTCTTAAACAAGCATATTACATAATATATGTATATATCTATATATAATGAATAACCAGAAGACTTATTTAAGTTGTTTTACCTACAAAGAAAACACAATTTGGTTGATGAATAAAACAAGAATCAGAATACGCCATGATGAATACTATCTATGCATGTATTCATCAAGTTAAAGCACTAGCACCCGCCACAATCTCCAAAATCTCCCCAGTGATCTTGGCTTGCCGCTGCCTGTTATACACAATCGACAGCGTCTTCTTCAACTCCACCGCATTGTCCGTCGCATTGCTCATGGCGCTCATCCTCGCTGCAAGTTCACTCGCCAGCGATTCCTGCAACGCCCTCAAAATCTGGCTGTTCAGATACAGCGGCAATAAAGCATCGAGAATCTGAACTGGGTCCTGCTCGAACTGCAAAATGGGGGAGAAATCAGCTGTTTCCGTTCTCACTGAACCTCTTTCTACTGTTAATTTCCCCTCCTTCGTCGTCAACCTGAAGAACTCATCTTCCGCAGCGTCAACACAGTTCCCATTCACATCACAGATTTCTCCCTTTGGGGAAAGAGGGAGTAGAGTGTGAATTACAGGATCAGATTTGACTAAAGATACAAACTTTGTGTAAAGAAGTTCGACTTTGTCAACTTCCTCGCTGACGAACAGGGAGAAGACATCGTCTGCAATGGCTTGAGCTTCTTTCGCCGTCGGCATTGTCCCGCTTTCCAGAAATTTATCGACCGGAATGTAAGGCCGGCGGTTGAAATAAGAGTTACCCTTTTTTCCAACGCTGATTACAGTGTAATCCACTCCAAGATCCTTCAACTCCGCAATTCTCGCTTCAGCTTTTTTGAGAATATTATTGTTGAATCCGCCGCAGAGACCTCTGTCGCCGGTGACGACGACTAAAGCAACTTTCTTTACAGGTCTGACATTTGTGAGAGGCACATCGATATCTTCCGTCTGGAGCTGTTCATTAATGTTGTACAAGACCTCGACGAGACTCTCCGAGAAAGGTCTTCCATTGACGACAGCTTCTTGAGCTCTCCTGACTTTTGCAGCGGCGACAAGCTTCATAGCCTCGGTGATTTTCTGGGTGTTCTTGACTGAGTCGATACGTTCTCTGAGCTCGCGGAGACCGCACTGAATAGGGGTTACGGAGGAGGGTCTGGAAGGGTTGGAGG